GGGGTGGGGGGTGGGGGGTGGAGATGAGTCGGGATTAACTATTATCTACTTAAACTCTGTATTGAATTGCTTGATTAGGTGCCAACCTTTATTCACCAACTCTTAAATTTATTCGGAATTTTTAGCATAATTAGGAAGTAAGAGAAAATGGGGCATTTATGGTGGAGAATTTTGAGTATCTTAGGCCCTCTTCTTCCCGAAGGACTAATGTGGATCGTACACACCAAGGATCAAACTTCTGTCTCCGAAACATCGGAGACGATGTCCCGTAAGTACTAACTTAGCGGGCTGTCTTTGGCCTTGAAGAAAAGGGTGAATTTAATTTTCTCGCCAAAAAACCTCAAGATAGCTTTCTTTCAGGCAAGATGGGCCCTGAAGCAAGATTTTCTTAATGGAACTAGAAGTGAATAAGGCTAATATTAAAATCTGTTGAAATCCAACGCAATAAATCAATTAGTGGGAGCAGTCTTTATTTCATTCCACCCCAAAATTAATCGTAGCAACCTTTTGTTATGCCCACAAAGTTAGTGAAGGAATATACGATACCAGCACCACCGTTGAACCTACTTCATGTAAGCTCGGTAGCAAGTAAGATTTAAAATTGGATTAAGAAATCAACTTTAAATGTGTGTATATGCTTCACTTACGTAGATATACGTCATGTACACATCATAGAGGAAGACACTACTAATAGAGACTGCTTCAGTACTGATAACCACAATCATCGACAAGACCAGCACCATGTTAAGCAGAAGTGTACCAAAAGGTCCAAAGAGAAAGTTAGCCACCGAATGTGCCATTAATCCTAAAATGGAATGAAATAAATAATATCATTGTTTTAATTCAGACGAATGCTAATATACTACTTATATACCATCAATAGCTTACCGATTCTCTCCATGAATCTGGGTAGCATAACTTGACCATAGCTCATGTTAAGAGCCATATACCCGAGGCCGCAAGCTGTACCAAATGTCACCGCCACTGGAAAGTAGAAAACCCCGCCTGAAATCAAGCTGAAACCTCCAGTTTCTGGTTCAGAGCTAAGAATGCCTTGCCAAATTGCCTGATCAAGAACTTGGAACACCAGGAACACTAATATGAGTAAAACAAAAGAGGAAAATTGTTTCAAAAGCTAATAAACATTTAAGCTGTTAAGTATTTGACTATTCGGTTCCCCAATCGATATGTCATTAACTAAGTGATGTCATTGTGTTTAAAGCTTTTTCTTGACGACTAATTGCTCTCAAGCTCACGATGTTCAGGCCTTGGTGATCAATTGGTTCTGAGGACTGCTTGGTCATTGCTATCTTCTGGCAGGATTCAGAGATGATATTTAATCCTCTTTCAATTTCATATTTAATATAAAATTTTATATGAGGCTGAAACTAGACCCATTTCGATAAGGCTCCTTTAGAAATGTCAAAAGCACAATAGCTTTTGTAATGATTGAAACCATTACTGAATGCTTCAGGCAGAACTATTATTACTAAATATCTTTCATAAAGTCAGAAAATGTGAGAAAGAAAACGTGAGTGCGGGTTTTACGCTTTCTTTTCAACATCTCACATCTGATTTATCGCACTTGTGATCTAAATTTGACTAACAACAAAAGAAATTGTAAATCGTGTTTAAAATTCCAACTTTGTGAAAGAAAAGGTAAATATTTTTGAATGGCAAAAAAAGCGACAAATTACCTCCCAGTTGCTCCACACCAAGTACAATCGTGTTAATTGAACGGAATGTGAGAACTGTTTGAGTGGTGTTTGGAATCATTTGGCAGGTTGTTAGCGTGTATATTCTCTGACAGTCACCTAGGGATGAAAGCAGATCAGAAAGAAAACTTCTATTTTAAATTATTTATTTTAAATTCGTCGAATTTATTACAGTGGCTAAGTAATATAAACCGTTTGAGTGGTTGGGAGAGACAATATGTAGGGCTTACTTGAACTGGCAAGTAGGCAAATTATGAAAATCAAGCCAGGTGAATCCACTGAACATGGGGACAACATAAAATCATCACATCATTAAATTAACCATCTACTCATTTTAAAACACCTTTCCCAGCTTTCTTTCCAGTTTATTTCAAACTGCACACACGATATAAGTTCATCTTCCAGTCCTCCTTACAATTATTCTAGCTATACACACAAAGGCGAATTGACTCAGATAGTCATCTTTAATATGAATCAACTTTCGAGGAATTTCCCAACCATTTAACCATTTAAGAAAGTTGTCTTTAAGGTACCTGTTGGTTAGGTTCAAGGGGACTAACACATCTAGTGTTATATGAATTTTGTAGCAACGTGACCATACAAACATTTTGAAACGGTAAAATTTTGATTATCAAGATTTTCTGAAGGAAACCAGAAACTATGGGAGAAAAAGTAAATTTAGGTGCCTGAATGGGTAAAATATTTTGGGTAACATGGCTCGTAAAATGGGGCATACTCGTAGAAAGAGGTTTATGAAGATGACGACTCAGCATGGAGATTAGTAAATATCTGGATTTATAGGAATTGCTCTAGTCAGAGCTTAAATCATCCTAAGTCACTCCGAACCCACGTAAGAGAATCAAGAAATTTTGAGCTTTCAAAATCCGAAATGAGTCTTCTGCTCTAAATCAAAACTCAGAAGCGCCATATATGAAACTGCATAAGCTTTTATTTACTGAATAAAGCGTCACCTATTACATAATATATCTTTACAATTACTGATTGCTAAATTTTGGCATTTACAAAATAGTTAGACTTGGGGATACGTACTTCCGTCTCCAGACTCAAGATCTTCTACGATTATTTACAAAATACTAATATTTAAGATCGATAGGACGTCAATAAACATAGGACAGAGTTCCAGCCTAGGTTTCATCATCACCTGATTTATTCGTTTATGGCACTCTGCAAGCTTGACATTCACTCTAGATTACTAAAATTAGAGAAGAAATGAGTGTCTGTGGTCTTGGCTGTGTTATTGAAGCGTATTGAAGGGTAACTCCAACTCCATTTGTCAACCGATTATGAGTCAACATAAACGCGGTGATTTCTCCTGAACAAATAGTTTAAAACGACATGATTTTTTGTCTTCATTGCATTCGATAACACTTGGTGTGAACATACTGAAAGAGCACACCCATTTCAGTAACAATAAGAATTGTAGAAACCAACCAAGAGGATAGAGACCAGAACTGAAGAATACGGCATTTCCAACCAACGCGACACTGAAGGTTAAGAATGCAGAAATGATGTAGGAGTTGGAGAAGAGGCTGAAGACACCACCAATTGTGACGGTCACGCCAACAACGAAGATTATTATGGCCAGAATTAACTCTTTGTTCATTTTGGGAGAAGTTTCCACTAGGGCTGCTAGCGCTCCTTAACAAAGAGGTACAAACTCATTAAATTCCTACTGCTTTAACTTAGTTAATTCAATTTTTAATACTGACATTGCAGTAATAAAGTCGATATTTAATTTGGAAATTTCCTTGAATTTAATTGTTTATTTATGTACTTTTCCAGTAAGTGTAAAGTAATTTTTTAATTAGAAGCGATGGATATGTTTGTTAATTCATTCAACAATATCTGCGGATCCAGTTGTTCAATATAAGACGATATGAGTGCCAATTTTCATTTTTGGGCTTCACGATGCAAGTTCCTAATAAAAATAAGAGTTGAAAATCGCCCTTGAAGTATCTCGGGAAATCAAAAATGTTTAAATGGGTATTCTGGTTCAGAAAAATAATTTTCAAAATTCTTTTGCATATTTTCATAGTTTAACTATTTAAGAATATGTCTACGAGAGGATTTTACAAAATTTAAATTAGTTTCGAAGATATAAGTATTTTGCTGCGCAGGCATCCAAATCGGCTGGGCTGCAACTAATCAAACAAAGGACATAATGGGTTCTCCGACTTCCTGAATCTATATTACTTAGTAAGCCCTTTTGTTCCGTTATATCTATCTATATATATTTTTATATATATATACATTTCACGGCAATTAATTTACGGAACAGGAAAACACCCACGGCAATTAATTTACGGAACAGGAAAACACCAGTTTTACGAGTGCATCAGCAGCAAAATTGAGGAAATCAAATGATAAAGAAGTAATTATAGATAATAATTACGGCTACAGTGTTTTGGAGTTTTTCACGGTCTTTTCAGCAATTTATTGGTTTATTTCGTGCACTACATACAACAACGAGATTATGTTTTGAAGAACGGCTCAACGCGGACTCGGGTTCAACATTGCATTATAATGCAGTTGCAATAGTCTACGCTACATTCCATCATGTCCATTCGTTGGCAAATCCTTCGAAGTTTATCATCAGAAGAGTTATTGATTCGATGTTTGGGTTCAAAAACTCAAAATAATAATGAGTCTCTAAACTCGCTGATATGGACTTTCGCTCCAAAGCATATCCATTCCGGGTCTCAGATCATTGAAAATGCAACATTTATTGCTGTTTGTATTTTTAATTAAAGATTTATATCGATATTGAAGATTATGCGATTATGGGAATGAAAATTGGTCCAGAAGCGCATTTATTTGCTATCGGACGAGACAACGCCCGGAGTGACCGCTCCGAGATACGAGCATCCAACGCATCAAAGGAGGCCAGAGCTGCTCGAATAGAAAACAGAGACGCCGAAAATAGTTTTTTCGAAGCCAAGGAAGGTCCAATGTATGCAGTAGGAATGACAGATTGAATAAATGTAAGTTAAAAATATAATTTATGACTTAGAATGCAAAAGATTTTACTTGAAATTTTAAACGCGTTTTTCTCAAAACTGTTTTTATTATTCTGATACCCACGATTTCTCAGATTCTGCAAAACCGATTTACTTGAAATTTTAAGAGAGTTTTTTTAGGGACTTGGCTATGTCCGGAACTATAGACATCCCCAAATTTCAATTTTTACTATTTTTAAAAAATCGAAAATTGTTCAAAAAAGTGGTACAAAAATGGTTGTTTCTTTAGACACTCACCATTTTGTAAAAAAAATATATCTAAAAATTATCCGTAGTTCCGAACATAGCGATATTATTGTAGATGGATAATCCTTTTTATTTTTTGTTTTCAGATTGCTTGGAGAGTTAAAATCGTGGGTATGGTCATACACCATATTTTTGGGACGTCCCACTCCATCAGCTGATAACTAACGAAACTTTACATTTTCTTTTATTTTTTATTTTTTTGATTTGAAACATGTCATCGATAGCACCTCCCCCCAACCGCCACCAATCAATGATTGAGGTGTTTGTTAAGGTTGTGCCAAATTGACATTCATTAATGGAAATTCTTGTTTTCTTTTAACCAATGAAGAGAAAATGGGATTGAGTTTTATCTAATTTTTTAGCAGATATTCCCCAAAATAGGTTTGATAATTATACAACAATCGAAGCAAAAAATCAATAGCTCCACTTTTTTAGCATGACATAAGCGTTAATTTAACGACTGCCAGGGATGGTTTTCTACAACGATTGGCATTAAAAATTCTCTAAAAGAAATCAATATTTGATCTCTATATCAATTAGCTTTATATTTATTTTATTTATATCAAATGGCAGGCGTTTTGATAGGTATCATTAGCCCTTTAGTTGACTACGGGTTTCATAGAGGGGAGGAGGAACATCAAAGTGAAAAAGCCGATAGAGAGGAAAGGAAGAGTGGTTGAAAGATGCTAAAGAGACAGACACAAGGGTAGGAAAAAGGTGAGGAGAGTACAGTGAAAGTAGTCGAATATGACAAACAGTGGGGTGATGGTAGTTTGAAGTGAGAAAACAACTGCCAGTTAATTGACTTTTTTGCCGTATGAGTATAAGTTGGCCATTTTGCACCACGTGGAGGTAAGTCTATCCCACACCCCATTAGCTTTATATTGTCCTATTACCCACATACACGGGAGCTCGAGAATTATGAAACCAAGTTTTGATTCAAAATCGGGAAAATTATTAATTATCTGCTAAGTTAACTTAATTTAAAAGCAGAAATCAAATAGACAGAAACTTTTTCAGTCTTTCAGAATTTGTAATAATAAAACTTGTCTAAATATAAATAATCCCTTGAAATGAACTGTGTACAGTAAAAATTTTGTCATCAATGACATTAGCACAAGAAATTCTAAATTGAACTAAGAGTTTAATAATTAAAAGTGAGGTTCACTCTGTTAAAGAAATTAAAAAAGGAAATTAATTTTTTTGACAAATTTGACGCATTTATCAAAACAAAGCGACCTAAATTAATGTTGACTTTAAGATTTACCCACTTTCCTGAGCAAATGATTCTCCTAAGTAGAAGGCTCTCTTTTCACTAATTACATCCAGACGTGTGATCAGTACATTGATTGAGACTTTTACGATTAATAATATTATATGCTACTAATTCCATAATTAAAAATGCCGCTTAAAAGCAAAACTTTGTGTTATTTGGGTCTGTTTTCTTTTCCCGCAGACTTTATGGGTTTAAATAAACGGGCTTAAATTGCTGAAATTAATCGATTTTTAGTTAACTAAAATTGAATAATACACATAAGGGTGTGAACCGGAGAAAAATGTAGTGCCAAATTTTATAGGAAAAACAATTTCTTTAATTTTAGCTTCAAATAACTAAGTTGCACTCGTCCGCATTTAAAAAAAGCGATGAATATATTTTTTTATAGAAATTGTGTCAGATGAGTCAAATTCAGGTTATTTTTAACAATGGATGACCAAGTTTCTCACACATGCACACTAATTGAACACAAAACTATGCAGGAGATTTTCTGTGAGAATTGAGAATGCTGACTCCTGTTTGATTCCTACTCCATTGACAGTAATCTCACTTTTAAATTGTCCGTTTTGTTCCTGAGCTAGATTCAGCATAAGAAAGATGTTTCCTTGATTTCTTGCTGAGATAGGTGTCCCTTCCCTCGCTCTGAAGCTCTTAAATATCCAATGAGAAATGACTACTCTACATGACACAAAGTCTCCATCAACCCCTTGTAAATTTTCTATGATCTGAACAGATTTCCAAGTTAGTTTAATTGATAATGCTGTTAGCGATGGTCTCAAAATTTGACATTTGAATTTGGAAAATTGCTGGCTACTTTAAGATACAACATGTACTGCACCTGACCTTATGCAGAATAACCGGATAGTTGTATGTTATTAAAGATGTTCAAAAGACACATTTGAACTTTCAAAAACTTGTAGGTTGTTGCTCTATTTTAATCTATGCCATATGTCAGGTGCTCCATGTCTCCGCCAATTTGGGGTGTGCGATAGACTTACCTCCACGTGGTACACCCTGGGCAACGTATTCTCATACGGCAAAAGTCTATAAACTGACAGTTGACTTCTGAATTTAATCTACCATGACCCTACTCTATGTCATACTTGACCCATTCCGCAGTACTCATCTTACCTTTTCTCTGCCTTTGTGTCTGTCTCTTTTACATCTGTAAATCAATCTTCTGTTTCTCCCTCTTCACTTTTGTGACATGAATGCTCCCCTTCTCTGTGAAGGCCGAAGTCAGCTAAAGGGCTAATGATAGGTATCATAAAGCGCGGCATTTGAAATAAATAAAAAATAAATATTGGATTTCGAAATTTCCAAGGAATGGATATTAAGAGGTATGCCAAGATAGCCATAATATATCTGCTGGTTACAGAATCAAATCTAACTCATTTGTGTAATGCCCCCCTCCACCCTAAGACCGTCAGAGTTGATCAAATTTGAATGGTGGTGGTGCAGACCCTTCTCTGCTTTGCCTAGAAAAAGAATTTTTTAGCGAATATGTGGCGTTAGCACGTATTGTATTTTGGTTTCTGGTTGGTCTACCGCTAACGGAGGTACAGACGTAGTCACCAGTTTTTTTCCCTACAGCCAATTCTTTCTCTCGCAGTATTACGCCGACTTGAATGTGCCGTCAACGCCGATGATAGATGGAAGCCATGGCATTGCTTGCAATTAGCTAATTAACTTACAGTGTAACGCACTTCATGTTTAAATTAAAATTCCCAACTATTGAAATTTTGTGAAAGTACTTTTTCCCTTGATTCATTCACTCAGCGATGCTTTTGGGGTTTTGTTTAAATTTTATTTTAGTAAATCAAACTTTCAACTCTTTTCTTTGAAAGAATGGCCTACCTAAATCGCTTTTGCAATGGAATAATCATTGTTTACGTTAAGTGTTATTATTATTATCATTGCTGGGCAAATTCAGTGACTAGGAAAGCTTTTTGACATTTTATAAGCATCACATCAAAAGGTGGTTGAAGATGCGACGAAATTGTTTACTTGTAACTTTCGAAACTATCACCCTTTTGAAGCTTTTGGGACACTTCATCAATGACC